CCAGAAAGTGCTGCTCAGATGTAAGACCTCAAATCTTGGTCTCCAATACTGTAGTGTCCACCTGTAGCTAAGGGAGACAACAAGCTATTATTCTAAAATAATGGATAAATTTGTTTTCTCCACATATTTCAGAAGCCTTTGAGAGGGTACTGACACTGATTCTAACTACTCCAACAGCTATCAAAATACCTGAGAGCAAATCCTGAATCCATCACTCTAGAGTCCAGCCTTGGAAGACAAAAGGAAAATGAGGAAGAACCCAATAGAGCTATGCTTTTGGAAGCCTTTGTCAAGAAATTCCAATGGACTCTCATGTGAACATTTGAAAATTGCCCTGCTCTGACTTTTTTCTAGTTCCCTGTCTAGAACTTGTAATGCTAATTACTCTTGCCTTTACTTCTCCTTCACATCTCCTATTCACAATTCAAGGACTTTCTTTCCCCCCTAGAGATAAGAGTTATGCAATTTGTAATTCTTTTAGATAGACCCACTGAAGGGGTACTCCAATTGCATCACCCTGCATCCTTGTTCAACATGGAAGAAGCCAAAGTGGTCTGCGTCCCTATTCCCTATTGGCAATTTGGGTACCCCCTTCGGAGGATGGCGTGATAAGAATAGGAGGTAGGAACTGGCTAGGAAGTTAGGGTAAAAAGACCCCAAAGAAAAGTAGCCAGTTTCTTGGCTAAAAGTCAAAATGTCCTTGGGCCCATTAACAACATACTCTATTCCAAGGGCCAAAAATGTCAAAAGTATTTGGGAGTTTGTATCTAATCCTTAAAGGATTTTAGAGTTACCTCTTCAGAGGGGAGAATGTTAGAGTAGCCAAAAGCCCCATAAAAATAAATAAATGAAAGAAGAAAAAAAGAAAAGAAAAAGAAAAAAAAGTGATGGGGAGATATGGGAGGTGTTGAAGGGGAGGGAGTGAGCATGGATTTGATCAAAGAACCTTATATGCATGTATGAAATTCTCAATAAAATTTTGTAAAAGTTAAAAAAAGGATTTAACTCATTTTAAATTGAGAGAGAGAGAGAGAGAGAGAGAGAGAGAGAGAGAGAGGTTTTGGGGGTGTCCTCAGAGGCCAGAAGCATCAGATTATCTGGATATGGATTTATAGGATATTGTGAACTGTTCCATGTGGGTGGTGGGAATTGAACTCTGGTCCTTGAAAGAAGTGTATATGCTCTGTAGCACTGACATTTCTCTAGCCCCCTGTAGTTTTTAAATAATTTTTTAAGAAGTTCATCCCTGAGTACTACATTTTCATGATTTCCTCTAATACTCTCCCCCTTACAACTTCTTGTATTCCCCTCCCATTCCCCTCTCTCTCTCTCTCTCTCTCAAACACACAAACTCTACACACACTACACAGACACATATACCACACAGACACACACACAAACACACACACACACACACGTAATGTATATGTGAAACCTACTGAGTCCATTTTGTGTGGCTTATATTAATGAAATAACCAAAGCTACATCTTTGATGAAATTATTTTTTTTCTCTTTGTCCATTCATCTTCTACCTTCTCTTTGGGGCATAATTTACTTTTTTATACTCATTTCTATCAATGCCATGTAGAAATAAAGGGAGTTATCACTAAAACATTATTGATTTGTAAGAGTATTTTGCCAATCAAAGAGCTGAGTCCATGGCTTTTTAATACCACAAATTTTGCTGTCATGTAGTTAATATTTGTAGCACAATGCAGAAATGCAGATACAGCAATTGGGAGTATTTGCTGTTTTTATTTTCTTTGCTAACAAATATTTACTGAAAATCTCCTAAATCTTAAGTATATGGATGAACAAGAGAATCAACGTCTGCAGTCACCCAGTGAAGAGCCAAACATCAAACACATCATTGTACAAAACCTAATTAACTAAGCTATATCAAGTTACTTGAAGTAAAAGTGAGAGGAATTACTATTGTTGAACGTGATGTCTGACCTTGAGAGAAGGCTGTCATGGAAGGTGGATTCTTCCTCTCTTCCTGTCACTTTGTCTTCTAGGTCTTAAAGCTCTAGGTCTCAAATAGCCTCACAATGAAAGGCCTTTCTCACTCTTCCCTCAAATTGTAGGAAACCATATTCTACCCTGTAACTTTCATTAATTTCGTACATGCCTGGATCTCTCACATATTTGTAAACTATTCAATGATGCTCATTAAGTCAAGCATTTTATACTTGGGATTAAGAGGCAAGCAGCCATGGTCATGATGAGAAGACAAACAAATTTATGTAATTTCAGATCCCATAACTAATTGCTTCTGTGGTGAGAGCAGCATTCATGGAGTCCTGGAGCTGCTGAGAAAGGAGACTTTAATGCTAGCCATCATTGGATGTTTTAAGGCACAACTCCTTGAAGAGTAAGGAAGAGGCAGCAAATGAGGAAGATGGAGTAGAATGTTGGAACGTGGTTCTGCACACCGCTGGAAAACAATGGTGGTAGAAAATGCCAAGCTCCTTCCTAGAATGAAAGTTTTCATTCATTTGGATGGCTACATGAATGCAAAAGACTTTCATATAATCAGGAGCCAGAATTGGAATGTTACAGAATTGGGACAATGGAATGAGGTGACGGAAGCCACTTTTTTTTTTTTCTTTTTCTTTTTTGTCTTTTTGAGACAGGGTCTCCTTTAGCACCAGCTGTTCTGGAACTATGTAGACCAGGCTGGTCTTGAACTCACAAAAATTTGCCTGAGGGAAGCTACTTTTTAAAAGAGGGACTAAGTATCATGACTCTATTTGATTTGCAGTGGCTGGATCACTATGGGAGTATGGATACTTAAGAATATATCATAGGATGTTTGATTATGCGGCCTGAAAATCAGCGATGAGCCTTTTCTAAGAGTCTGAAAGACGTACTGATTAGTATTAAGGATAAGCAGGTGAATGAGAACGTTAGAGAAATATATAATTAAGGATGTGCTAGACTCTAAGACTAGAGACAGAAACGAAGAGATGAAGTGTGCATCACAGGAAAGGGGTCTAACCAAAGATATCCACTTGGGGAGAAGCAGGAATAAACACTTAAAATAAGTTCTTCCATATCTTCTTGATAGGAATAGACTCCCACTACAAAGAGTACAGTTCAAAGTCTGAAATGCATAGGCCCTTAACAAAATAGATCTGAATATTAAATAGATGAGGAAATGAATAAATGAAGAGTATCTGTTATAGGATAGCAAGCACATCCAAGAAAATGTTTACAGTTTGTGTGAGTATATTAGCATATATGATGCAGTTATGTATACAAACACATATATCAACATATATACACATATATGAAATACATTAGAATTTCACATCTGCAGTAATATCCCTGACATAACAAAATACCACAAACTTGGTGGCTTAAACAAGAGTTTGTTTTCTAGAACTTCTGGAACCAAGATGTACAAAATTGTGCTGGTTTTGAGTGACACCTCTCTGATTTACAGACCACTGTCTTTGGGTTGGGTTCTCATCTTCATGTAGACTTCCTCTGCTCCAGTGGGGGGAAAAGGGAGAGAGGGAAAGGGAGAGGGAGGAGAGAAACAGAAGCTGATTTTTTAAGGATAGGATGTCATTAGCCCCCATTCCATGGCTTCACTTAGCATTAACGTTCTGCTTAAAGACCTCCCTCCAAATAAGGTTGTGGTGGTTGCTGAGGAGCAGCAGTGTATGTGTGTGTGTTTGTGTGTGTGTGTGGGGAAGGGGTGGCTTCAAGCTATGAAGTTGGGGGGGACCAATTTAACTGTATGACATTAATGCATTTAACATCTAAAGTGACTTTTCCTCTGAAAGAGAATAGACCTTTTTGTGTCTGTTACAGAAACTGCTGTTTGTCAGAGAGGTAAGGGTTGAGCTAGAATTAGATGATTACATTGGAGTGCAACTGTAGTTCTAAAAATATTTTTATGTCATTTTGGAAAACCTTATAAGCCACTTGCACATAAGCAACACCCTGGTTGCCCAATGAATTTGATCAATAATTTTCTATTGGTTGGTGGAAACAATGTAGAGCATGCTAGAAAAGGTATATATCCCGCAAGGATGTGAATTTAAAATGAAGATACTTGAACAGAACTACGAGACATTCTTGGCCTGTGGGCACTGGCAACTTAATATTCCCTTTTGGTTATTTTCAATGTAGTAGCTAATTCCTGTTTCTTTCTTCCTGCCCTGGTTTGCAACTTTCTACACGTGGCCTTCCTTTGGTTAGGTTCCAGTGTTGGAGTTGACGCGCTCTGTAAAAGCTCCTTGAACTTGAGAAACTCTGGCCCTGGCGGCCAGGTGACCGAGACTGGGTGGGGAATCCACCGAGTTTTGAGGGCGCGGAGCCTCTTGCATACCATTCTCCTCCCACCAGCATCCCTTGTAGGGAGGCAGAGAGGGCTGCAAACTTTGCTCCAATCCGCAGTCGCCCTCCCTAGGGTTTGCCTGCTGGGCGACCCGCCCGCAGCGGACCGGAGTTGGAAGAACTTTGCTAAAAAGCTGCTTGTCGGAGCTAGGGAGGGAAAGAGCTCCCCGCCTCCCCACATTCCGGGTTTCCAGCCCCCGCCTCCGGGTCCTGGCCCAGCCGGGAGCGCTGGTGATAGGACGAGCCCCGGGCGTGCATTGTGTATATGCAAAGCAGCGGCCCGGCTCAGTGGGGCAGCTCCAGCCGGCCAGAGGCTGCGGCTGCGGCGGGCGCTGCCGTGGGTGCCGCTGCCCGGGGTGCAGAGCCGAGCTGTCATGCTCCCGCCGCAGGGCGGGTGGCCGCGTCGCCGGGTGGCTATATAAGCGCGAGCAAAGGGGGCACCCGGAAGGGCTGAAGATGAAGGTGCCCGCGCATGGGCCACCGCTGATTGCCAACCCCTCCCGAGCTCGTGCCCGGCGCGGAGCCCGAGGCAGCCCTAGACCCGCCTTCGCCGCAGTAGCAGCGGGAGCAGCAACACGGGCAGCAGCAGCTGCGGCGGCGGCGGCGGCGGCGGCGGCGGTGGCGCCCCTCGCGCCAGCGCGTAGAGCGGCCGCGGCGACTCGGGGGCCGCCACTGGCCCTGCTGCCATGAGTTGTGCGGAGGTGATGTATCACCCCCAGCCATATGGAGCGCCCCAGTATCTGCCCAATCCTGTGGCAGCTGCAACCTGCCCCACAGCCTGCTATCATCCGGCGCCCCAACCTGGCCAGCAGGTGAGTCAGAGGCCGGGCAGCCTGCCTGGGGCGGGGGCGAGGGGCACCCAGAGTATCGGTGTGAGGCTCCCACCACGTCCCTCCGGACGGGCGGCGCAGAGGATGCTTTGAGACCTGCCTGGAGTCATCAAAAGACTGAGAGGCTCTGGGAAGGGCGGAAGAGAGGGTGGTGGGGCTGGGTCTGGAGGAGAGGTTTTACCTGGCTGGGGGCTTCATTGGGTTGTGTCACCTGGGCTCAGAGGCTGCTCCTCCCAGCCGCACTGGTCTTTAGGATTCAGCTCTCTGAAGCTCACCACCGGCATCTGTCTTAGGACTATGTGAGTAAACTTCCTTTAACCCAAATACTTTGTTTCCCTGGAGGAGGTAGTGTGTTCCAGGGTTGTCTGGGATAGGAGATGGATGTATGCCAGAGGTAGCAGAGTCTACCTGAACAGTGAGCTTAGGACTTGATCTTTCTGGGACTTTCAGGGTGGAGCACTGGTCTGATGCAGCATGTATTCTCTGTTTCTAGACCTTCTTCCTAGCCTTTCTCTCTGGGCTGTGATTTAGATGACAGGGATGCCCAAAAGGTTCTTCATTCATTTTCTAATCCAAAGCACAGAGCTTCTTATGTCTGTCCATGAACCTGCATTTTCTATTCAAGAGGTAGCCTTGAATACCTGTGCATGCTGGGGCCTCACCAAACTAAAACACTGAAAACGTCCCTAAAAAGGACCTGACACGTAGAAGATGATAGAGAAAGTAGGTAAGGCGCTGGGCAAATTCATAGTTAGGAACCCTTGAGCATTACTCTATGGCCATATAACAAGTGCACCTAGTTTTAATTTGTAATACATAAAAAATTTCAAGTATGCATATAGTAAGGGACTGTACCAAACTAGAGTCCTCCTCAAACTGTAGGGTCAGACTAGGCTAATTTCATTGAAACTTTAAAAGTGCAACTAGGTATAGTTAAGAATTTCGATCCACAGAATTTATTGACTTGTTTTACTTTCTTGGGAGCTGTATGTTTTATTGTGGCCTTCAGGGTTTGATGCATGAATTAATCTAGACTTTGAATTTCCCCTACCTCTGTTCCTTTTCTACTATGGGGCTATTCTTGGGAAAGAAACTATTACTCTCTGTTTAAAATTTAGGGACTTTGAAATTCAGCTAATTCTGAAAGCACACAAGTTCAGAATTCACTGCTAAACACTCTCGTCTTAACTAGGACAAATGAATTCAGAAAAGGAAGGAGCTCACTTTGCTTTTAGTTTTATTTATCTACTTACTTGCTTTACTGTTCAACAACTTCAGCAAAATTGCTTTCTTGAGTGGAAGATGGGCAAGCATTTTTGTCATTTGTAGTAAAGACTGACATATGAAAAAAATGATCTGTTTGGCATATACAAAATATAAGTATTGTAGGTCCAAGTGAAGCAATGAAACCTTGAATATTACTAACACCTAGTCCTGGATGGAGCACCTTTGCTCCATCTCTGATACTGTAGAGGCCGTCAATTATCAGTTGGAATGTGGACTAACAACAGACTGAGATGTTACTAAATAGTCAGAGAGATAGCTTTCCCTTCTGAAAAAGTATAGGTTGTTGCTTAAAGAATCATGAAATTAATTCCATTAATATATGAATCTATGGTAGAGCTCGGCATTATAATACTCTTACCTAGAAAATGAAAGTCGGTGTTAGACAAATTACAAATTAGTAATCATGAAAGTTCTTTTCAATGAGCACTGACTTCAAGTGCTTTATCTCATTTTGCAATAGCCCTGAGTCTCAGCCTCATCCTTTTGCTAAAACTATCAACAAGCTGAAGAATGAATGAAAAGTAAAAAATAAAGAACCTGAATTGCCTATGTTGAGGTTGTAGAGTGAACAGCTTCAGCTGTATTCTGAGTATCTGTAGACATCCTTTAAGTAGATGTTTGATGGAGTTGACTATAAGGGTTTAGCTGAGAGGTGTGCATAGAAGTTGTCCTATTGCTTTGACTAAACTGATTTATTTGAGAAATCTTTTTCTCCAGTAAGAAACTGACTGTTGGCGAGCGAACTGAAGAGACTCAACAGTCTCACTACTGTTCTTATACTCTCAGGAGTTTATTTTGATGACCTGCATTTTCTATTGGAGAAAAGAGTAAATCAGGAAATTCTTATCAAGCTGACAACATTTTTAGACTATGCAGTGCGTGGGTGAAGTGGGACTAACATTGACTTGGCCCTAGTGCAGTCATTTGAGAATACATATTTTGGTTGTTTTTGCATTCCATAAGGTTTTATCATTATTATCCATGAAGATTGTTTTCTCCGTACATGGGAAGTGACCCCTAATACCATCTTGCCTATGAGACAAAAATAAAGGCTATAACTCCTACTGCATTTTAAAAAAATTGATTTGCTGAAGAGAAAGACAATAAGAAAGAGACAGAAAAAGGGACAGAGTACTCCAAACAGTTTAATGATCATTCATGAAATAAATGTTAGAAACGAAGACATTAAAATTTTGTGTCACTTCTGTATTTCAATTGTAGTAATTTGTCCTTGAGCTCATTTCCCCTCCCAAAACTGTTGATCCAAAGTCCTTGTATGTTTGTTTTTGTTTTTCTGGCAGGGCAGGGGATCAAACCCATGGCCTCACAAGTGCTAGGCAAATAGTCTACCACTGAACATGCCCTGAAGTCCTTATAAATTAATATATCAACATGGTTCAGGATTATTGATCTTAATCATAGGTGCATTGTTCCACTCTGAAAGAAAATGAGAGAAGTTTATTTTCCAGGCCTATGAACTGCTAGCCTTTCCCTTCAAAACTGAAAGATTTAAGTTTAGGTTTTTGTTGATCATTATTGATCTTAATCATAGGTGCATTGTTCCACTCTGAAAGAAAATGAGAGAAGTTTATTTTCCAGGCCTATGAACTGCTAGCCTTTCCCATCAAAACTGAAAGATTTAAGTTTAGGTTTATGTTGAGCATGTTGTATGTTGTAGTTGTGTAGAGATTCCTTAAAAAGTAGTAAATGGCATATAAATGCTGCACTGTAGAGCATTACTCTGACTAAATGACTCAAGCTAATTTGCCAGCATTGGAAGTGTATATTTAAAATCCCTGACACTAATTTCTAGAAATGGCTTGTGTGTTCAAATCTAACAATGTGCTTTACAGAACCCAAAATTTCTGAGAGATTCTAAGCAACATATTTCCTATGTTTGCCATCTCTTCACAGCCCCAATTCATCCATCCTTCATGCCTCTCTGGGAGAACTCTTGACTCAGTGTCTTAGCACATGCTCAGAGGCTGATGACACTGCAGAACGTGAACAGAAAGGAATGTGCTTGTGTTCTACCCCTGACAGTAAGAAACAGCAGAAAGTTTCGAAATATGTGTCAGGAAAAATTGAGGGCAATGATGTGAAATCATAGATTCCCTTCATACCCAGTGAACTTCTCATCTTAAATGCAGACAGTCTGTTGTCTAAATCCTCTCCCATATTCATACTGCTAAACTTAGGAAGATACTTATAACCAAGCATTCAGAGTTATCTAGATGAGATGATAAATGTAGAGGGCAGTTACTAAATTTCTACCTCTGTATAGAAGATTCTAACAATCACCTTTAGGGGCTTTCATGAAAGCCCAGAACCTCTGTCTTCTTCAAGACAGGAAGCAGAATGAATAGCAGTGCTTGCTTTTACCTAAAAAACAGGTTCATTTGGAAAGCAGAACTCCAGTTACATATGCAAGGAGTTTTTCAAATTCATCTATCTTCTGCTACCTTGGTTAAGTTATAAAACTGCTCATATTTTGTTTTTCATGAGAAAATCTTGAAATAAAGAAGAAAGAACTTCAACTTGTGCTTTTGTAAATGGTAATAATGCACACGCATAAGGTTGAAGTTCCAGGTGAAAATTTCCAAGCTGATTGGTGACAAAGTCAGGACCACCACATCTCCTCTTCCCAGTATAGCACCTTTCTACCTGTGCCATGCAGTTTTCTAAGCCCTTGTCCTTGTTTAGTGCACAATAGACATAGTTTTGTTTTTATTGCCCCCAACCAATTTCTTCTTGATAAAGAAGATTAATATACAGTAGATTCTTTGGCCTTGGAGTTTGAGAATTCTTTTAAGTCCTTGGTAATGTACTTTTTAAAGTTTAGGAATTCCAAATACACAAGCATTCATATTATTCTAATGACATTTGTTCTCCACGTTCCATCCTTTCTTGATGAGAGTAAATAGCTTCTTAGTAAATTAAAATTTATTTCTTTGTTTAAAATAAATTGCAACAAGTCATTCTGCCTCATATTCCATTGGTCTTCAAACATAAGTTTAGATTCATTCAGAGGTAAGAGCTCAATTCTAACCCAAACAGTTTCAATGCACAGTCAAATTATTTAAGACAGAGGATTTAATTTTCTTGCAAGTATAAGCAAGGACTTAAGTATATTTTTAAGGATTTATACTGGGCTCCTTTGAAAAAGAGCAGCCACTGTAATTCCACAATACACAAATTAACTTGACGGCAAAGTCTTAAAAGCTTAAACTGTCCTACAGTCTCATGTTCTCAGTAACTTCCCACTGTGAAGAAGTCAAACACAGAGGAAAAGTTAAGCTTGAAAGTAACTAACCTATTGGCCTGGTGATTCAGAATGGAGATTTCAGTGATGATGGAAAGAGCAGGACTGAAATCCATAAAGTCACTTGGAAATATACTCACCTGAAATCAATACCAGGAAACCATACCATTAGAAATGTAAGTGAAAGGTACTTTACTCAAATGCAGGAAGCCCTACTTTACTTACCACCTGGTAGACCTCTGAAAGCTTGAGATGTCCAGATATGATTTATGTTAGGGGAAATAATATTTAGGGGTGGAGGCGGGGCAGCCTTTCTTTTTTGCTTAACCTCTCATTTTCACACTACCACAAGCAAGACACTAAACTAACCCTGTTGAGCAGTCCATACATTTCTGCCTTGTATCTGTCTATGCAAAGAAAATTTTCAAGCAGA